GAGGTCCTTTACCTGATCTGATACTGTCAAATTTATGTCAAATCTATCCTTTTTTAAGCGGAATAAGCCTATCGTTTCTGTACTAAAACCAGAAAAACACGTTGCATTACAGAAGGCATGTTACAACCAGGAACATCCTGTAGTACCAGAATAGGAACTTTTTAATGCATAATGCTAGTGTTTTGTTCGTTGTTTTCTGTTTGGGTTTTGGTTTTGTTTTGGGTTTTTTTTTAAGCATAATGCCAATGCCTTCATAACGAAAGTAGCCTTTGGTAGTTCAGTTCCAAAATGATCAAACAGAAATGGAATGAAAGAAAGAAATTGGAGGTAAGATTGAATTACCTTTTCATACGAGGCTTCAATGGCTTTCTTGAAGGAAGAAGATGATGTGACTTTAACCCGTGTCTTTCTTGAGAATAAAAATGGGATACCAGAAGATCTTTTACCATCATGAGTCGATGAACTACTTCCATGAGCACTATCACTCAGGGGAGTTAAATCATTGTAGAAGTCCGATGTTACATCATCCTCTTCATCTATTACCTGGAGATTCAGTAAAGCAAAATGCATTTGCCCAAATAATAATCTGAAATAAAAACCTATTAAGCAATGAATTCTTGATTTTTTTTACGGAAGAAACATGCCTGATTATTTGAGACATGGCAGTAAACTAAGAAACTGTTCTTAACACAAAAGATAAGGCTGAGAAAGGTTAATAGGTGAGATGAATAAAAGAAATAGACTTAGTAATAGGCATTTAAACAAGGGGCGTGGGGGGTGGAGCATGTAACACTTTCTTCTAAAATTCCACATCCTCATGCCCCAAATCACAGAATCACAGAATGGTCAGGGTTGGAAGGGACCTCTGGAGATCATCTAGTCCAACGCCCCCGCCAGAGCAGGGTCACCTACGACAGGTTGCAGAGGACAGCGTCCAGGTGGGTTTTGAATGTCTCCAGAGTGGGAGACTCCACCACCTCTCTGGGCAGCCTGTGCCAGTGCTCCACTACCCTTAAAGTAAAGAAGTTTCTTCTCATGTTAGGACGGAACTTCTTATGTTCAAGTTTGTGCCCATTACCTCCCGTCCTATCACTGGGCACCACTGAAAAAAGACTG